ATATTTCTTCCTGAAAAACCAAAATTAAGTAGAGATATCACAAGTTTTTTAATAACCACCGGAAAAAGTGGACAGGTAAGAAAAAATATACTTATCACACAATTACATAACACATATATTATGTAACCGCCTGCGACTTCGTCCGCGTACAATATCTGATTTCCAATGAGATTTTGAAATTTTCTCGCTGCAAAAGTCTTACCTAAGTATAAAGAGGCTATATAGGTAAAGCTTAACTATGCAAGTATTTATTATTTAAAACTATTAAAGTAAATGTCGATCTTCATACCTATACTTTAAAAATATAGGACTTGCATGTAACCATTTTACCCCAATTTCACCCCCTTAGGGTTAGGATTTCATAAAACAGCTTATTCAGGATTTTATTATTGAAAACTTATAACTTTAATGCCGATTTTCGTGTCTCTAACTTCAAAAACGTAGGACTTTCATACACATTTCATATTGTGTGTGAAATATGTATTTATAATTCACTCATATTTTCATTTGTTTTTATAATCGGCGAGACACATGATTTACTGTTTTATTTCAGTCTGAAAATAGCAGTGACATCATCACGACATCTACATGAGTTGATTGGACGGTTAAAAAATATCTTCCCTTCTCATTTTTCGATGACGAAGCTACACAAGTATATTTTCGATCAATTTGACCAAATATTGAATCTTAAGAAACGACTACAACAATTTTCATCTAAAATGTCATTTACCATTGATGGATGGACGTCAATTGCTGGTAGGAGTTACTACGGGGTCACTATTCATTATATAGACAACGAATGGAAATATCGATATGTAGTCCTTGATTTTATACCATGATGCGGTCGACATACTGGGGAAGATATTGCAACGATTTTCCACGAATGTTTATTGGAATATGATATAAATGATAAAATACAGGGTATCACGGTCCACAACGCAACTGCAAATACCAAATTTATGTATGAATTGGACAAACAGCTGCCACACTTTGATTCAGACAATCAATATTTTCGGTGCTTTGCTCACATTTTGAACCTTGGTGTACAAGATTTATTAAAGACCTTAGCATTACACAGTGAAACTGACAATAAGGGATAAGAACAGCAGTATGAAGATAATGAAGACGAAACTGAGGAAGATGAAGAATATGCGCCAAATATTGCTGACTCACGTACAGCTATAACAAAATTACGCAGTATTTCCAGTAAAATAAAAAGAAGTGAGATATTGAAGAGGAAGTTTCAGTCTGCTTGTGAAGCAGCTGGCGTGCCATCAAATCTGATCCCTATACTCGTCTGTCCAACGAGATGGAATTCCACACATGATATGATTGGATTTGGTTTAAAAGTGAGAACTGGCATTAATATATTGTACACTTCTGTCACCGAATTGAATGATTTTCAAATCACAGATAGTGAATGGCAAATACTCGAAAAAATACATAAGTTTCTAATAAACTTTAAACTTCTATCAACGAAACTTGGTGGAGAAAAATTTGTTACATTACGGCTAGTCATTGTATCATGCAATCTCTTGCTCGATAAAATTGAATCCATTGTAAAACAATTAGATGAGAAACCTAATCGATCCGAAGTGGATGAAAGGCTCATTCTGGGTTTTCAAGCAGCTCGAGACAAAATGCTTAAACATTATAAAAAGAGCAACTGAATTTATTGTACCTCTTTAATTTTAAACCCAAGGCGTAAGACTCAGACTTTTGACATGACATTATGGGGGAAGCAAATTAAAACAGAAAACCTGCGCAAATTTAATGAAATTTATAAAGAATATAAAAGTCTACACTCAGTGAATACATCTCTAGAATCACCAAGACATGAAAAGAAAGTATGTGAATATGATGAAGATGAAGACCTCAGATCATATAAACAACAGGAGATATGGCAAGGAGGCGTGGCACTTGCGAACGCATCTGGCCGCAAAGCGGCCTGATGCCAGTTTCGGTAATTAGTCGAATGTCAACTTGTGACGTCTTCACTGCTCGTGATTTTTGACAAATTGCCGCGTCGTTCAGTGATTGTTTGCAAAAATAACAGCTGTATTGTGAATTACATGAAAGATGGCATCTCATTTCACACGTAAGTACTAAAATATTAATGTTTTTCTTATTCAATTTATCAAAACATTACTTCGTGGTACTAGAAACACGATGAAAAACCAAATCAAATGTTTTCATTAGGAACAAAAACCATTGCTTGCTTAGTACAAATCGACATGTGAATCAGCTGGTCTAATAGCGCAATGGATAAGTGTTTTACTGATACTCTCACTCACACGATAGTTTCGTGAAGCAGCCGCTGCCGGCTTTTGTGAGTTAGAGAAACATGTTTTTGTGTGAATAAGTTTTGTACGGTGCATGGTAAATGCACGCTGCGTATGATGAGATAAGGTTTATAATTGGTTGTGTAGATCGTTCTGATTTATTAACCCTTAAGGTACCATGGACATGTTAACATGTCCACGTTTTGTGACCGCTGAGTACCGAGGACATGTATACATGTCCGCATTACGTGCTGCTATTTTCGTCATTAATTGATATAAAAATACAGTATATTTTCGATTGAACACTATTTCATTCGATTGTGAACGAACTAAAGAATATTCTGAAGAATTATATTCACTCGGTTACATAGACAAAATCAAATATAACAGCCATTCGCCTTTGCATACCGGTACGGTTAGTTGCGTAATCGTTGAAGTTTTGTGATTGTGATTTTAGTTGGATTTTCTTTCAAAAAAACTGTAAGTAATGTTATTTATCTTTACTACGTAATGTTTTTGAATGATTTAAGTTACAACAACAGTAACTTTTTATGTTTCAATTGATAAAAAAGTAGAAATATAAAACCTCTACGCGAACAATTCATAACGGTCAAGATTTCTAATAAGAATCTAATAAAATAATAATAGTATATTTCTTATTGGAATACCATAGTAAATACTTTTACTAGGAATTGCTAAATGTTATATCTATACGACTGTATAAGAAAAATAAAGGAAGACGATATAAAATATATGCACAAAAAGTAAATAGTGAAGTAAAAAGTAAGTGTAAACTCATTTTCAAAGCAAGCGCTAACTGTCTATTGTCGAATTTTTAGCAAATGTTTGCAAGTGAAAAAGTAGAATTATTATAATTATTATATGCATAATTTCGGTTCATTTAGGAAGACTATGTTGTATTGATTGTAAGGACATAAAAATAAAATAAAAACTTACGATGTTTCATTCATAAAATAAAATTTATCGTCAGTAAGTACACTTTATCAAGATCGGTTAGAAACAAAGAGCTGTACAAAGTAAAATAAACATTTATACGAGTATGTTATGGTTATTGTTTCTACTTATCAAAAATCTTATCGGCTTCAAATAACTGTAACTAAAACCTCTTTAAACATAAACGAAAGGTCGTGAGAAACATAAGTGTTTATAACAAGTGCCGCCAGCTGAGGTGAAGACAGAGGCCCCGGTACAAAGCTCTGTTTTTTGTTATGGCGGGCGCGGCAAGGGAAAGGTTAAATGCGTGTGTGTGCGCTACTGCGTATCTATCAATTTAATGAACTGCATGTGTAGTAGTTGGCGAGTGGCGGGGACAAACTGGCGACAACAGGTTCCGACATATTTTAACTACCGGGCATATCTCCTGTTGTTTATATGATCTGAGATGAAGACTTTGAGAAATTGTATGCATGTCCCTCGACGTCATCTGGATCTGGATCTTTTCATCAAGGCTTAGTTATAGACGAGTTGGAGAAGTACCTAAGTAAACCCAGAGCCGCCAGTTCGGAAGACATTTTAGAGTGGTGGAGGACGCATGTGACAGAATATCCGACTTTATGAAGATGGCCCGTGATTTTCTTTCAATACCTGCAACTTCAGTACCTGCTGAGAGATTATTTTCTAAAGCATCATTAGTAATTAGAAAACATAGATATAGGTTAAGTGATGAGTCAGCCAGATGGTTATTTTGTATTAATTCTTGGTCAAAAGAATTAATATAAAGTAACAGTAATGTCAAAGCTGTTGTGTACTGTTATGTAATTTAATTTGTATTGTATTTTATTTTTTATTTCCATTTCATATAAGGGTCTACCAATCTCTTTCTAGACAGATAATGCTCTTTATAATACAGTAAAGTTAATGTCATTAATTTGTTTTTTATATGTTTTGACTAAGTTTTAGCACATGTAAGCTTATTAAATGAAAACGTTTATTAAGAAACAGACTAACTGCCGTGGCCGTGAGACTTGGTAGACAGCTCAGTTGGTTAGAGCATCGGCACGGATCGCTTAGGTCGTGGGTTCAAACCCCACCCGGTATAAGTTGATTTTTCGAATTTCTCAATAAATGTTTAGACATTTATTAATTTGGTTTGTCTTTCTATGTCTATGTTAATTCAAGCTCAAAATGTGCCTACTCTGTTAAGTTGTTCTAAGATCTAAAGTAACGTTTAATAAATAACAATAGGCTAATAGGTAATTGCGAGACTTGCAGACTCTTGTTGCAAGACCAAGACCAAGAACAAGACTGAGAGCGCAATACCAAGACCAAGAACAAGACCAGGTGTATTGGCGCAAGACCAAGACTGGCTAAGTCTCGTCTTGTTCTTGCATTTGGGCAACACTTAACGCGAGTAACCCGGGTTCGATCCCCGCCGGCACCAAAGAAAAATTTAAGTGCTGATTTACCACGTGCTCGGCGGTGAGGTAAATATATTAGTAACGATAGTAAATAGTAAGAAAAGGTAAAAATTTCAAATGAGGTAAGTAATCAAATTGAGCAGTAGAAAGCTGACAGTAACACAAGTTTTTGTGAATAAAGTCGTTGATTCAAACTCTGTAGAAAAACGTAGATATCTAACAATGTTGTTACGCAAAAATAGTTACTTAAACAGTGGCTATAAAACAGGTTTAATACAAAAATACAAAATGTTATACAAAACCCAAAATACAAAAATGTCAATAATAAGGCCTGACGTACCAGTATGTATACGCTCGTGTTTGCGAAGAGTGCCACCGTCAGCGAAAGCTTTCCAGCAGAATCGACAGGCATAGGGCCGCTCGCCCGTGTGGATCCTGATGTGGATCTGCTGCGAACTGCGCGACCCAAACACCTTGCCTGGAACAGTTACACGCTTTTTATGCAGAGATCCAAAAATGGAATACCGTTGTTCAATGGAGAAGGCGGTATGAACACTGGGTATTTTCAGAAACTATGACTCTGGATGACGAGGATTGTTTCTTCCTTCAGTCCGTCTTAGCTTATGTGGAGTTTCAGGAAAGGAGATGCAGAATAGAGTGCTGGCATGGAAATGTACGAATCATATAATCAATATATATTGATATTGCAATTGATCAAAGATACAATTACATCACCCACCATAGGAAACGCATCGGCGTTACGCAATAAGAAAACAAAAGGAGTTACATAGTATAAGTACCACTATCAATAATGTATATATGTAGTAAAGTCTAATTTTATTTTCTACCCTCTATCGCCAACATATCAAGGCACATTGATATTTTCATTATTAAATTATATGTCCATAAAATTGTTAAACAGTTGTGTTGTCAGTATTGGAAATCATTAAATAATATTTTTTCAATAAATTTCATTTATTTTTAACAGCTAATAAAATGACAAATTCGCTTTGAATTTTCCATTGTATTTTATTTTAAAGTTATAATATACTTACCACACTCTCTACACGGGAATTGTCTTAAAATATTCGAAGTTGTTGTGTTGTTTTTACCCCGTCCCATTCTTTTTAATCTGCAAAAAAAAAAACGTTTTACAGAATTATCTGCAACCACATGTCCAACTCATGACCATTATCATATGTACATAAAAGATAAATAATAAACTAAATTTCACGGTTTGGTGACACAGCAATGCGTAACGCGTCTTCAATTGTGATTGCTTCGGTTTGGAATTTGTGTTTGATTATAAAATCTGATATTTTTAATCTGTATTGCCCAGGAACGACTTTATTGTTGGACAAGAGAAATAAAAGATATTATTATAGCACTGTGAATAGAAGGAATTTGCCATTAAACATCCTATTCGATTAATGTACTAGGGCAAGCGATCAATTAACGACAAAACGTAGTGGTGGCGCTGTCGCAACTTACGACCTCATTGAGAATCTCCTTTTTTCCGAAGTCAACTAGTGTGTGAGGCGGTGTGAGACGATGTGAAAAGCTGTGAGAAGGTATGAGGCGGTGAGAGGTTGTATAAGGCGCTGTGAGGTGTCGTGACGCGGTGCAGAGCGGCGTGGGGCACTCTGAGGGTGTATGAGGCGGTGTGAGAGGCTATGACGCAGTGCGAGGCGGCGTGAGACCGGTGTGTGGCTGTATGAGGCGATGTGAGGTGCTATGACGCATTGCGAGGCGGCGTGGGACCGGTGTAAGGCTGTATGAGGCGGTGTGAGGCGCTATGACGCATTGCGAGGCGGCGTGGGACCGGTGTGAAGTTGTATGAGGCGGTGTGAGGCGCTATGGCGCATTGCGAGGCGGCGTGGGACCGATTTCAGGTTATATGATGAAGCGGTGTGAGCCACTATGACGCATTGCGAGGCGGCGTGGGACCGGTGTAAGGTTGTATGAGGCGGTGTGAGGCAGTGTGAGGCGCTGTGTCACGTTGCAGCGCGGCGTGGGGCGGTACCTGGGCACGGCGGGGCGGTGCCGCTCGGCGTGTCCCTCGGCGTGCGCCAGCAGCTGCAGCGCGTCGGTGCAGCTCTCGCCGCACACGTCGCACGTGTGCTCGCCCTCCGCCCACGTGCTGCTGGTGCTGTCGTGCCGCTTGTAGCTGCCGCGCAAACGACACTTGTTACCACCGCGTGTGCGCGTCCGTGTAATATATTAAGCATTGCACGAACTTTCGTATATTACGACTGATGCCGCAACATTACTTTGTTCTTTTAAGAAAAACACATCGTTTTCCCGTTTACTTTACGTTTTACAGTACTTAAATTGCGTGAAACCCACTTTTTTAATTATAAACAAATAAACGCAACGCAAAATACGAATGCGTATTAGGTTGGCAACGAAGGGTGGAGCCTAGCCAAGCTTCTAGTTGTCACATGAAAGGAGAGGGAGAAATATAGTAATAAAATATCTGCGCACACTATTCGAACTAGAATTGCAATTTTAAATGCCGATTTATCAGACACTCGACGGAATAAGATAAACATCGTGAATAAACCCTCTCAGAAACGAAAGGAATCTCTGCCCAAAAGTAAATGAAGACTTATTAAATATATCACCAGTTTAAAAAGTAAGATTACCGAAAGCATTTATTTTTCCAATGCTATGTGAAGAAATAAACCTGAATTTGTATTTTTTCTTGCTTGTGTTTTATGACGTACCTGTGCGCTGCGGCAACATGCCGCCGTAGTAAGTCTACACGTTGGAACGCAACACCACAGTCCTGGCAGAATAGTTCCGGTCCTCGTACATTGTCAAATACAGCGCGCTCGCCGTCTTGTGGTAATGGAGACAGCCGGTATTCCATGTCGTCATCTACGTACATGTAAATCACATATTATACCTTATAACATGACAGTACAATAATAATAATATTAATTTTAAAAAAAGTAATAAAGTAAGGAAATTAGCCTCTCTAAAACATTCACCTAAGCATAGCTTAAAATGTTCCACCGAAAACAAGTTTCCTTATTGTTTAAGAAAATGTTTCATCATAAAATAATTGCATACAATGCAATTAACAATTTAGTGCATGTTTCTCTACTAAAACTACCCTTATATGGATGTGGAAGAGGCGAGAGAGGTATGTCAGGATCGTGCTAAATGGAAGTCTGTAGTCTCTGCCTACCCCTCTGGGTGACAGGCGTGAGTGTTTATGTTTATGTTTTCTCTACTAAAACCCATATAACTATCGCCAAAATATATAATTTTCAGAGCAGCCAATGAGTCTGTGACGAGTTTGCAGTCAGGAGGTAAATGCATTGTGGCAACGCAGCTTATTCTCACCTGCTCCTAGCCCCCTCTAAGAAACGAGAGAAAGCCATGTCCCAACTGTGGGATTTATACAGGCTATATAACTTTTTGTTACTTTTAAGATATATTTTTTTTTATTTGAGATCTACTTTTCATACCAACTACCGGCATTTAAAACACATAAAATACAAGTAATAGTATATTAATTATACATTATAAAAGTAATTCAGTTATTTAGGGATTTCAATAATTCTTCTGTTTCATCATTTACGTGGTAGATCCACGCTGCGGTTATTATGGTTTTGGCATGAATGGGTGGGCTCGACCGGGAAAGGACCACGCTCTCACAGAATAACTGCGTAAAATAGTAGCTTAATGCTGCTGTTTCGTATGTTGAGTGTAGAGAAGTGGACTGTGTGCTCGTTTGTCACCCTATCCTATAAAAAATCTAGTTTTTGAAGCCATTTGAATAGAATTTTTTTACATTGATTCTTATTTAAAATGTATAAGTTTAGTTACTTATTTATTTTATTGTACAAGAATGGACCAAGAAAACAAAAATATTTATGTGCATAGGAATATTCAAAGGTAAACAGTATGGCACACTTTGTCTCACTAAAATTTAGTAACATGTGTTGTTTTAAAATAGTAAGATAAATGAATAATTGTCGGACTGTTAAAACTTGGCAGTGTTTAGGTACCTATGTATATAGTTCATGTATATAGCACATCTGTACACGATCACTAATGCAGATTTGGACTCCAATTTACAACAATTTTTCTATTTATTACGTCTAAATATAAATAATACTTATTAATTAGAATAAAACCAATAGGTCACTAAACTATGGATTTCTATTTCAATTTCACACGTTTTTTTTTAATAACAGTAGGGTTTAAAATAAAATTAATGGAAAAATTATAATTTATTGAACCCTGTTTTCTGTACATAAATATTTCTCTTTTCTATAATCCACACACGCCGATGTCGCCGACGATGACGTCGACGAATTAAATTGCGGTATGAATTTTCAAAAAGATACGATAATAACAAAAAGATAAGATTTTAAAAACGCGTCTGTTAAGCAACAGAGTCAACTACAGAATACCGGCAACGTCCAATGTCGGCACTGTAGCACATACACGTCCGAGTTACTCGTCCGGGTAGTTCCGTCCGCCATCGGCCAGCAAAATCGGTTTTGGTGTACACGTGCCGTTAGTCGTAACATGTTGTTTCTCTAAATATTGTCTATCGTTTCCGGTAAGAAGAGCTACAGCCGACATTGTTATTAAACATTTGGAAGATTCTATATTTTTAACACATGGAATTCCCCAAACGGTGTACATAGATAATGGCAGCCAATTTATTCGTGAGAAGACCATTGCGCTCTTTAATAGGTATAATATTCCTAACGTTTTTCTTACACCTAAATATACTCCTCAGGTTAATTTGGTGGAAAGATATAATAAAACTATTGTGACCTGTCTATCTACCTTTGTGGATGAAGATCAGCGTTCTTGGGATGTATATTTACCAAAAATACTGTTTGCAATAAACAACTCTGTAAACGAGGTTACTGGTTACACTCCCTCATTTCTTGTATATGGACGTGAATTAGTAATATGTGGTTCTCCCTACGTTGACAACGACCTCGACGACGAAATTGTTTTCTTACCACGAGACGCTTATGCTGCTGAAACTGAAAACATCGGCTGCCTCGCTAACATATTTAACAAAATTCAGGCATCACTATGGCATCGTCACCAACAAAATTCCAAACGTTATAATTTGAGGAGAAGGTTCACAGAATTTAATGAAGGCGATATTGTGTTTAAGCGCACTTACTATCTGAGTGACAAACACAAATATTTTAATTAAAAATTAGCACCAAAATTTATTAAATGCCGTATAACTAAAAAGAAGTCTCCTCAAGTGTACGAATTAGAGGACATGTACGGTAAATATTTAGGGCCGTGGCACATATAAGATTTTAAATTGTCTAAATACTCGTAACACATTTTTTTTTACTTTTTTTTGGATTCTTTGGATCTTTTTTTGCGGATTTTTCTACTTGTAGGAAATAAATCCTTAGGTGGCCAGCGGGGTATTGTAATGTGTCATCTAGTTCGCGTGCGGAGACAAGTGGGGACGCATGATAGCTCGCGCGGCTTGCCAGTGACCTCAGTGACCGTGAAGGCACAACTCGCCTAAATACATTTCTGTAAATACATTTTTTAATCATCCCAAACACATACGTTATGCAAATTATAGCTAATTGCTTCTAATAAGTTTGATAATTATTTAAATATTTATGTTCTTCCCCTTATATTTGGTAAGTGTGAACAAATTTATAATATAACTAGTATAATAATTACATTAGTTTGATTTTTTAAAGAATATATATAAACAATTGATACTTAGTAGGTAAATTAAATTTATGTCATATGCTAGTTATTTTGTCATGTAATTTTTATGTCTTTTCATTGTACTTAGTAGTTATAACTTTAATTTTTGCCTCTTTTGCTACCAGCATGTACCGCCGTACCAAATTTATTAGTTTTACTCTCCCAGTTAATTCTGGCGGCGGACGTATATGTTTTCAACCTTGGTTGCAAGGTAAATTAAGGATTTTGACTGTGTGTTCCAGTGAACTTTGCTGGAGCTGTGAATCAATATTATTATTTTCCCAAAATATTAAGGATGGGAGGTTATATTGAAATTAATTCATACAAATTAAACTCGCACGAGTGGAATCGGTTGGAAAAGGACACTTATCCCCTACCACTCCCGCCGGACTCGCCGCCAGACGTGTCAGGGAAGTACTCACTTTTCCTTCTGATCCTGAAAGGCGTCGAACCCGCGACCTTCTAATTTTATTTTATTTTATTTCTTTCATATACAGGGTGTTAGTGTAAACACCGTTGTCCTTGAAACCAGTGGTTTGGTTTCACTTATAGAAAGTAATTTCAATGAAAAATAACAACATTTTTTTTAGTCAAATCTCAATTTTTTCACCCTAGGCAAGTAGGGATATACCTACAGAATTCACAACAAAAAACTCAACATATCGTAGGTAGCGGCAGCGATTCGCGGTCAAGGCCAATGTCACTGTGTCAGTCCTTCGCTGCGTCGGTGCGGAATGTACGTGTTAATTTGATTTAAAACCGCGCCGCGCAGTGCCGACATTCTACGTCGCTTTAGGTTGTAGTTTTGGTGCGAATGTATTTAATTTGTAATTATGTCCTACATAAACGTGCAGTGGAAATGTGCCTCTTCGTTCACTGAGAAACCTCTACTACCAATATGACGGTGCCCCTGCACATTTTCAGCTGCAAATCAGGGCTATGCTGGTTCAGGAGTTTCCTGGGCGATGAACCGACCTTACCCCGCTGGACTTTTATCTTTGCGGAGAAGTGAAGCGCCGAGTGTACGCAACTAAGTTCCGTAATACGTCCGAACTCAAAAGGCGAATTCTTAGTGTATTTAGAGAAATGACACTGTTGTGCTTCTAGCTTTTACGATTAATGTAAAAGCTGATCAAAATGGAATTCATTTACGAGGATTTTATTTAATAGGTAAGTGTAAATAACCAATCAATCAGGCTACACATCAAGCTGTACAAATCCTTTGTCTTGGCCTCGCTTTGTATGATCTTTCCGTACAATGAACGGTCAGCTTATGCTTCAAATGCCCTTTGCGTTCCAGGGCCGCGGTACGGTATACGGTAAATACGCCAAAAATCCTACCTAATGATTTACTATTTACTATTATTAATGTTTAATTTTCTTTGTTGTTAAATCTAACTTACATTAATTTGGACTCGTCACGCAACACAAAGGGTAGGAATTTTTCTGTCCTAAGCAAGTGTGAAAGTATGAAGGTTATGTGTACCATTGTGTTTATATTGAAATGTTGTGTAGGTAGCAAGGGCGGGCGGTGATCTTTACAGTGATTACGTCACTCGAGCGCATAGGGTATCCATGAATTTACGGACGGTGTCGGACAGAAACTTTTTTAATTTTATAAAAGAAAATAGCGTTTTTTTTTTAAAAATCGGATAAATATTTTTATATTAAAGCCAACCACCTATGGTTTCAGTGACAACGGTGTTTACACTTACACACTGTATATCGATTTAGTATTAGCATAGTTTTAGTAGTTTTGTATTTTAGTATAGTTTTTTTAAGTATGTATATTAGTATAGTTTATTAGTAAAAGTATTAAACATCTTAAAACAATTTTGATGTCATTATTTATTTGTTCAACAAATAATTATAAAGTGACAACTTTTAATAAAAAAAAACTCTAAGTTCCTTCACATACATTTACCTATACGCATACATGCTTGTCGGTTAAGGGTCTAAATTTAGTCCATCAATATATTGCCAATTTGGTGGATAAACTTCCGCAAGTTCAGGGCGTCCCTTGCCGACTCTTGTCTTTTACTTCTACTACATAAATTTGCTTTGTCACTCATTTCTCCTTCATTGTTTCTACATAACAAAACCGGCAAAGAATTTTTTTTAATTATTGGTCAAAACATCATGCAAAACAATTGACGTGCCTTCTTGACACTTTCCGAATACCCACAATAAACTGAAGAGCCTTGCACTCTCATTTTATGGTTTCGATCATCTAATCCGAAAGGACAGAGTTGCTTTATTCTTGTGTGGTAGCGGCGTAAAATCTACCACACCTGTTTTACACCATAAGCCAAAAACAAGAGAAACTTGTCCCAAGTTACTGGTGCCACTTTCACTCGTCACATAATGTCTACTGGGGAAGGGTGGGGAGTATACTTTCTAGTCTAGTCTTTAATTTTTTAAATTAGTTACATTTTATATGTGAGTATAATTCGTGTAATTACAGATAGTGTTTACCAATGCTCCATAATGTCAAAAATTAAGCAAAATTATACAGTTCAGTTTCAAATTTTAACAGTGTGAGTGTGTGTGTGATTTTTACAGCGTACCGGAGTGTAGTGTGTATTCAGCGTACCGGAGTGTAGTGTTTGTACAGCGTACCTGAGTGTAGTGTGTGTGCGTGTTCGTGTGTGAAGCGTACCGGAGCGTAGTGTGTGTGTACAGTGCATGTGTACAGTGTACCGGAGTGTAGAGGGCTTGTGCATGTGTACAGTGTACCGGAGTGTAGAGTGCGTGTGCGTGTGTACGGTGTGCCGAAGTGTAGAGTGCGTGTGCGTGTGTACAGTGTACCGGAATGTAGAATGCGTGTGCGTGTGTACAGTGTACCGAATTGTAGAGTGCGTGTGCGTGTGTACTGTGTACCGGAGTGTAGAGTGCGTGTGTGTATGTACAGTGTACCGGAGTGTAGAGTGCGTGTGCGTGTGTACAGTGTACCGGAGTGTAGAGTGCTAGTGCGTGTGTACAGTGTACCGGAGTGTAGAGTGCGTGGCGTGTGTACAGTGTACCGGAGTGTAGAGTGCGTGTGCGTGTGTACTGTGTACCGGAGTGTAGAGTGCGTGTGCGTGTGTACAGTGTACCGGAGTGTAGAGTGCGTGTGCGTGTGTACAGTGTACCGGAATGTAGAGTGCGTGTGCGTGTGTAGTGTACCGGATTGTAGAGTGCGTGTGCGTGTGTACTGTGCACCGGAGTGTAGAGTGCGTGGCCGTGTGTACAGTGTACCGGAGTGTAGAGTGCGTGTGCGTGTGTACAGTGTACCGGAATGTAGAGTGCGTGTGCGTGTGTACAGTGTACCGGATTGTAGAGTGCGTGTGCGTGTGTACTGTGTACCGGAGTGTAGAGTGCGTGTGCGTGTGTACAGTGTACCGGAGTGTAGAGTGCGTGTGCGTGTGTACTGTGTACCGGAGTGTAGAGTGCGTGTGCGTGTGTACAGTGTACCGGAGTGTAGAGAACGTGTGTGTGCGTGTGTACAGTGTACCGGAGTGTAAAGTACGTCTGCGTGGGTACAGCGTACCGGAGTGTAGAGAGCGTGTGCTTGTGTACAGTGTACCGGAGTGTAAAGTGCGTGTGCGTGTGTATAGTGTACCGGAGTGTAGAGTGCGTGTGCGTGTGTACAGTGTACCGGAGTGTAGAGTGCGTGTGCGTGTGTACAGTGTACCAGAGTGTAGAGTGCATGTGCGATGTGTACATCGTACCGGAGTCGGTGTGCTGGAAGGTGGTGTCGACGCGCGGGCGCGGTGCGGCGTGCGGGTGTCGCTGCGAGGCGTGCGCCGCCAGCGCCTCGCGCGACCAGCACAGCTCGCCACACTCGCCGCACTCTATCGGCGAGTCACCGCCATGAATCTGGATACACATGATGTAGGCTTATAATTTTACGCTCACCGGATGTCGTACGTTGGGAGAGATGAAGTTATTTGTCACAGAAGGTTCTTTTATTCACGTTTTTAATATAATTTTAACGGTTTCTACAGTATCTAAATACACAAAACCCTTAATGGTTTGATCTTTAATAAAAATATTTTTTCCGCCTCTAAACTTATTTTAATTTTCCTATTTTAGGAGTACCCATAGTTTCGTTAATCTTTTTCTGATCTAATATAAAATATAACTAATATTTCAGCAAGAAGCATTAACTCTTACATTTTTCCAACAAATTAACTTTTCCGGCAATGAAAGCTGTCAAATATTTAACCTCATTTCTAAGTTGCGCAGCCCTGGTGGCAGAATAATTCATGCCCCCCTTAATACAATTTCAATACTATTGCCACTTTCTTTTTTTAACAATACTTTACACTAGAAACTTTTAGGAGGCAGTACATTCATAAATTTCACAAGGACAAACTTTTAAACAATAACAATACCTAATGTTAAACATTTGAATGCCAATGTGATCACATTATGTGATGTTATTAAATGGGGAGGAGTTGAGTCTTGTGGATACCACTATTTTTCTTGGTATTACTATAGACGCGAAGCTTCAATAGCGCCCCCATATATCTAAGTTAGCAAGTAGACTTAGTCCCGCAGCATATGCTGTAAGAAATATTAAAGTCTCACCGATGTTGAGACAGCTCGATTAGTTTATTTTAGTTACTTTCATAGCGTAATTTCTAATGGAATTTTGTTATGGGGTAATGCGACTGACATTAAAGTCATATTTGTTTTGCAAAAGGGAGCCATATGGGCGATTTGTAAATTAAATTTTAAAAAGTTCCTCGGAGAAAGTTTTAATATAATATATAATGCCAAAGTTAATATTAACTCTAGAATCGCAATAGGTCGGGGAAAAAATACTTCGTATTTTGTTTGCATATAATTGAAGAAAAATCTCTTTGGTTGTACTGCTTCTCTCTGGCTGGTTTTAGTATCAATACATATCACAGGACATTAAGAAAAACCAAAATAAAAAGGAAAAAAAACACCTTCACGCCATTTTTCAACTGTTTTCCTATAATCCAAAATGAGTTAATCTAATGAAGAAATACTATACATTCCGAAGTTTTATTACAATAAAAGGAAAAAATGAGGTTTATGGACCTAATGCTATATCAGTAGGAGTAGCACAAAGTTGGTTCAAACTTTTTCAATCTAGGAATTTTGATGTCAAAGATACAGCTCGCTCTGGTCGCCCTAGACGTCATACGGATAAAGTCAACGCCATTTTTGAAAAAGTGGAGCCAGATCGTAATATTAATTAGTTACGACATAGCCCAGGAATTGAGGATTGACCACAAAACAGGTTTGACCCATTTGAAAAAGTCTGGCCTTACAAATAAAAAGGCTATATAAAAAGAACAGATATTTGGGTACCACACGAGCTCACTGAAAGAAACCTAATGAATTGTGTACTCATTTACGATTCTCTTTTCAAACTTAATGAAACCGACCCATTTATGAAAAGATTGATCACTGGTGATGAAAAAGATCATGGTCAGAGGGTAATCAAGAATCAGTATCAGAATCAAAAATTATTTATTTGCCTACTTGTGTATTTACATTTGCATCCTCACGGCCGGTGAACCGTGCGAGGGTGAGTCAGCTAACTTATGTCCTAGGTGGATCTGTGTTTGCTGTGTTTTCCTTATTCATAATAAAGTTTATACAACAAAATTATTATGTATTTCATTTGTTTTTGTGTACTTATTTGCTAGCCTTAATTACCTTATTCTAAGAGGGTGCGGGGCTCCCGTGTTATCGGTGGGCCATCGCTCGTAATTTTTCTTTTTGGGATCATATAAATTTCACCTATTCTATGATTGGTCCTGAGGGGATTGAATTCTCCGTGCGCCAGGTAGGCGTCACCGGGGGATTGTAGGTCTTCTATTTCCAGCTGGGCAATGTTGTCCAACATCTTCTGATTTATGTCCTCGGCACGTAGGTGCCAGGCTTCTATGTCAGCCATCTCCCATAGCGCCTCTGTGGATATTCTTTTCGGTAGTTGGGCAGCACTCTTGAGTGCCATTCTGTATTGCCTTCCGATTTTACTCAGGTTCGTCGCGCTGTACCTTGATAGCAGTTGGACCACTCCGTAGTCCAGCAGTGGCAGAATGCAGGCCTGTATTATGGCCAGTTTGGTTTCTAGATCTGTTTTTGTGTAGTATCCAATTATCGGGCCAAGGGCTCCTCTGACCCGTTTCAGTTTCTTCATTACCTTTTCGGTGTGTTGATTCATTCTCATGCGTTTATCGAAGACCACGCCGAGGTATTTGATCTGGTTTTGGTAGGTAGCATCTGTTGTTTTAATTTTACCGCTGGGCGGTATTTACTTTTCTTTAAGAACATAATGCACTCGGTTTTCTTTATGTTGCATTTGAGCCCCCATCTCGTATAACAGTTAATAATGGTTTCTGCTGCCCATTCCGATCGCATGGTTGCATGGTCTGTGGTTTGTGGCTCTGTTGAGAATGCAGAGGTCATCCGCGTACTGGGAGAGTTTGAGCCCCTTAATTCTGTCATGTATGTCCCAGATGTCATGGACATACAGGTTGAAAATCGCCGGTCCCAGGATCGATCCTTGAGGCACGCCATGGAGTATAGGTTTCTCATCTGTTTCAGTTGTTCTAAACCTGCCTTTCAGTTGTCTGCCTGCAAGGTAGTTTTCTATAATTTTTGTGATGTTAGTGGGTACGTCTTTATCTTGTAGCTTTTTATCAAGCCTTTGTGGTTAATCGAGTCAAAGGCTTTTGAGAGATCTGTTGATATCATGGAGACGCTGTCGCCGTTGGCCAGGGCATCTGTGATTGTTTTCCCGGTGCGAAGGATCTGGGTCGCTGTGCCTCTGGCCCTTGTGAAGCCGTGTTGGTACGGTGGTTGCAGCCGGTCCACCGTGGCGGTGAGTCGTCTCAGGATCAGTCGCTCGCACAGTTTGCCCATTATGTTGAACAGTGTAATCGGGCGGTACGATAGTGCCTGGCGATGATCTTTGCCAGCTTTGTGCAGGAAGATGCACACGCCGGTTTTCCATCTCTTAGGGAAGTAGCCTGTGGACGATATAAAGTTAGCGAGAGGCACAAATGACTCGGTGAAGACTTCTCCCCCGAGTTTGAGGGTGTCTGCCTTGATTCCATCTGGCCCGGGAGCCTTTTTGTTTTTGAACCTGCTCAGTGCTAATTTGACTTCGTGTTTTGATTTTGGGTCGAGTGGCTGGAACGGGGTCGTTTTCTCTGTGCCCTCGTCTTCCTTCGCAATTACTGCCTCTTTTACTATTGCTACCTCAGTCAGTGAGTCGATCATCTCTTTTTCCGTTTTGCAGTCCGTTATGTTTGGTAGTTTCATGATTGGTTTCTTCATGTTGCGTTGGATGCGCCACATTTGCGACCTATTGTCATTCGGATCCTGGATCTTATCCAGCCAGCCCTTCTCGGTATATTCTCTCAGTGCTTGGTCTGCTTCTTTTTTGGCTTTGTTGTAGAGGGCACGTGCCTCTCGTTGTAGGTTGGGGCTGCAGTGCCTTGCCTGCCATTTAATTTGTTTCAGCTTGTTTCTGAAGTCTATCTTTTCATTTATTTCCGGTGGTAGATGTTCTCGTCTCGTTGTTGTTCTGAAAGGTGCGTGTTCGTCGAGGGCTCCTGTAATGGATTTCTCCATGGTTTCGACGTATCTTTCGCAGTCTTCCTCCGTGATTATTTCCAACCATGTGGGATGGTTTGTTGGTATGCTTCCATCGCCCCCTCGTCCTCGCATATCCTCCTTGTGTTGCGAGATTTGTTTTCCTCTATGTTGTGTTCGATTTTTACAGTGAGTAGTCATGGTAGATGGTCTGATCCGACGCTTTCTAACTGCTTGGCTTGTGCCTCGATCTGTTGGTGTGTTATTACGGCTATGTCCAGGATTGCGTTGCCTTGGTTGGCCGGCCTCGACGGCGCGCCGGCGTTTTTAGCGAGCAGATTCCGTCGTTTATTGCTTTCCTGATTGCAATGCCTAGGCTTGCATCTCTTCTTTGGTTCAGGGCGCGCATCTGTAGATTCAGATCTCCTATTATGATCGTTGGTTCGTCTGTCAAGGTTTCTTCAAGCTCTTCTCTGGCTTGGTGTTGATTTGGGATTTGAAAGTAGGTCCCTTTTATTTTTAAATTCCTTCAATTTTTCTTATCACCTCTCCCCACCCCGGTGTGACCTCTGTTTCGGTCCATTTTAGCACCCTTTGTATGTACATGGCCGTGGTTGTGGGTTTTAAGCGAGTGTATGATTTTATAGTATCCTTTTCGTTTTCTCCTTGTCGAAGTCGATTTTGCATTCGTTTATCACTATTATGGTTGGCCTGTATTTTTCTGCCAGCTTTTTTACTTCAATGAATTTATTTCTCAGTCCTTATGCATTTAGGTGTAGGATTTTGAGGTTCTGTATTCTTTTTTGGTCGTGATTAGCCATTGGTCTGTCGTTGTGTGTTATTCATGGTTTCTATGAGCTTCATTAGTAGTTGTTCCGTTCGCTCCAGTCTTAGGTGGAGCCTTTCTATGGTTGTTTCGTTCATCGGTCGTAACATTGCCTGCTCCCCCCTGTGATAGTGTCGGCTCCTTCTGTGGCAAGACGGGGAATTGTCTTTTGCTTGAGACGTCCGCATATCTGACTCCAGGTCTGACTGTCGCACGTCTGATTCTCTCTTCTTGTTTAGTCTGTTTGGCATTCGCTTGTTCCATTTGTTTGGATATCAATTTTTGTTATATCGGGCAGGTAGAATTGTTCGCGCTGTGTCCTTCTTTCTTACAGTTTTTGCAGACCATCGTCGTAGTGCCCTTGGGTGTATTGATTTTGATCTGTGATTCTTCTTGTCTGCCGTAGCAAGACTGTTTCGAGTGGTCAAATGCAAAGCATTTCTTGCATTGCACTATGTGTCTCAGGTTT